GATGTGCTGCAGTGCTTGGTGCGGGGAACATCATGTGTGAGGATTCGGCAGAAGGTTCTGCAGAGGACTGTAGGATTCTGCTCTCGATGTGACGTTTTTTGAGTTTTATTTCAAAACCAAAATAATTCACAGAGTTAACATTGCAGCCATAAGCACACACATTCCCCCCAACGAGTCGTTTTCGTGGTTGTTTTCGACGAGGTTCCTGTGACTGCCAAGCTGTGTCTGCTGGCTCGTTCGGAACCGTTGGCCGCCAACTCCCTGGTCCCGCCTCAGCGGGAGGCCGGCTCCGCGGAGCGGGCCGTGCAGCTGGGCGCATGGAGTTTCCGCGCCATTTGTCCCATCCTCTGGGGGAACGGCCGGAGTGCGAGGCTGACCGAGAGTGGACCAGGTCTCACACCGTGGCTGAAAGTTCAGCCGCTGAGCCCTCTAGATGACGCTCGTAAGATGGGGACCAAACAGAACGTCAGAGGTGATGTGGCCTTCCAGCATCTCTCTGTGCAGGTGTTCAGGAATGGAGGGCAGGGCCGTGAGCCACAAGGCCGCTGGATAAGGGTCTGCCAGGCAGCAATGCGAGCAGAACCGGTGTGTACAGTTTTAGTAATGATGGTTTTTGACTCGACAGGAGAGTCAAGCTCCTCCACCATTTTGGAAACGCCAAAGGCGAGAAGGCGATGGGATTTCCTGCAGCGCCGGTCTGGAAGGCGCACTGGTGTGCGCGATCGGCGAGCCGCCTTAGCAGCTGGTCATGCTTAGCGGGAACTGCTCACGGTCCAGTGAGGTGGTTCTTGACGCCACACAGCGAGGTCAAGTCCGGCTCCAGTGGAGGAACGGATGGCCAGCCCTGGTCGGAGAAGCCCTCGACCTTGGTAATGGGCGCATATGTGAAAATTGGCGCCTCGAGCCTGGCAGGCTCGGAAGCGGCGGACCTTCCAAAAGAAAACTCGTCGAACTGGAAGAAAAACCACCAGGACCAGTGGCAACCAGAAGATTTTGTGAAAAGTCTGCTTACAGCATAACCCTGTAATCCTCAACCCTGCCTGTCACTGATGGATTTCAACAGGTTTTCTGTTACACATGCTGAAGCGGAAGATGAGAAGTCACACTCTTGACAAGATGTCCTGGCACAAATGTGGATCAGTTCTTTCAATCTAGCAGAGGTTCAGCACTGGGACCCAAAACAAGCCGGTGGGGCAATCAGGAGTGATCAAGCATGATCTGTCTTCCCCCTTTGTCGATCGCCGCTGACCTCCTCTGTGTATCCCTTTTTTTTTTCCCCCGTGTCCTGTCTGGCAGTGAAGCAAACATAATTAATGTCTGAATGCTGGTAACAAACCTTACAGATTTACTCTCAGGTGGACCATCAAAGCTTCTGCTTTTAATGTCACATCTGATACTTAAAACTTTATTGATTTTGAATGCTTTTTAATTCCGACCAGACACAGAGACAGAGGTGAAAGAGAAAGGAAGAGACGGGGGGGGGGGGGGGGGGGGGGGGGGGCACAAAAATAAACAATGATGAACAAGAGTCTGCTTCTAGACCTGCAGAAAGAGTAAAACAATACAACAGGTGCAAGCTCACTGTGTCAACTTGATGAGGAAATATAAAATCAACATTGTTTTACTGAACAATCACGATAAATCATAGTGCATTTAGTGCCAACCACAGCCTTGAGACGTGTTGAACGTGCCCAAGTCCATACTTATGAGAGCACCATGTGAGCACCTGTGTGTGTACCCGCGCTTGTATATGTAAGGTTTCTCTATAGGAGCGTCCAATAGAGTGTGAGGGACCACAGATCTGCCCCCCAAAGATGTGTAGGAGATGGAGGGAGCTCCAAGTCCCAGAGATCTCCCTGAAGTGCAGTAACACCAGGGAGACTGCAACCAGACAAGCCCCTGCCCCCCTCGAGAGGCACAGTGGATTGCCCCGGGGGGCCATAACCAGCAGCCGGCAGAGCCCCGGGAGATACCCGCGGCAAGCCCACAGCCTTCCACCCCCTAGCCGGCAGAGCCCAGAACCCAGCGACCCGAGACCCAGGGGTGACCAGCCCCGCCGGGGACCCAGCAGAGCCCAGGGACTCAGATCCCACCAGGCAGCCACCGGGATTGATCAGGCAGACGCCAAAAATCTTAAACTCCCTGACCCGGGAGCCATGAACACTCAGGCAGACCAAGGCACCGCACTCCACACCAAGTGTGGCAGGAGGAGGGGAGATGAAGATGTATAGCATCAAAAGAAGTCCGAGGAGAGGGGTGGAGTCCAAGGCCCCACCTGACATATACAGTCATACACAGACACAGTCACACACTCCCTCCCTCATGCTCACACATGCACATACAACCCAAGGCTCTCCATACACACCCTATTCTTTCTGGTCCCGGTACTGCTGCGCATGGGGTACAACAATCACTGGTAACCAGAGTTTGACCCTTTCTGCTGGGGTACTGATGAGCAGGCTCCCCCGCCCAACGCTGAGCAAAGCAACCCACCACCCCAGACCCCAACCAGACGGCCAGATCTCCCTCCTAGCCTCCAGCGCCAGGAAGCCAAGTGACAACAGAGGTGTGCTAAGACCCCTAGTCTCCCTCCGCCTCCTCCAATATAGTGTTAGTGTGTGTTGATGAGGTGTATTCCATGGCTGTGGTGAGCGGGCATCATCTGGCCTATGCCAGCTGATGCCACCACACCACCCCACTTGCACCCACAGCCCTCTGTGTCTAAGTTCAGTTTAAAATTGGAAGTGGGCACCGGCACTCGGGATGAGGCTGAGAAATCCCCCTGCCAAATGCCGTTGAATGTGCTCACTCCCAAGGCCCTACGTGTGTGTTTGTGTGGAATGTTGTTGGTGGAAGTGTTTAAGGTGCAAATAAAATTGGGGGGCAGGTTGCCACAGGAATGCAGAAATGGGGTCCTTACCCGCACCCCTTGACTTGTCCACCCCCCAAAGTCCTATGGGCATGTTTGTGTGATGATGTGAGGGAGCAAGAGGAGAAAAATGTGTGGGGATGGGGAGGAATGGCTGGTTGGCCTAAGCCCTCCAGGGAGCCAGCTCCCCCACTGGCCCCAATAGGCACCTCTGTTGCCAAAATGCCACCCAGGAAGGAGGAAAGGAAATAATTATAAAGGTTAAAGAAGAAGAAAGAACTAAAAAGAAAAGGTGATAGGGGTGTGAGGTGGTGAAGAACAGGTGATCTTATCATCTAGAACACAGATCTAGCAGCTATTTATTCCTGACGTGCTCAAACCCAGGGAATCCTGATAAGAATATTAAATGTGTGACCTGATGTTGGGCTAATATAACCAATCTGTCACTCCTCACTCCTTGTAGAGTTTGTTGTCCACATAAAGCTTATCCACCAAGATGACAACCCTTCTACCATCCTGGATAAACTTTTTGCGCAGCAGGAAGAGGACTCGGCGCCGATCCATGTGTGGCAGTGTGAGCATCCTGTCACAGTGTCCTGATTAATCATGCACCCTGGCTACTTGGCCAAGGGGATGTCCCTTTGACTGACTGGTAAGCGTGCGTGACTCTCACCCGGGAGTCTGGGGATCGAATCCCGCCCGGGCCCGCATTTCTCCACCTTGCCGCATTTGGTGTTGTTGGCAGGATCCATGTAGTATTGTCAAGTAGGTCCATGGATGTGAAGTTTTTGGCACCCTGCGCGGGAGCACGAGGACGTGCTTGTGGAAAAAGGGGGGAAGATTTGGCGTCTGGGGATCGAATCCCGCCCAGTCCCTTGTTTCTCCACCTAGAGAATTTGTGACCTAACTTCGCTCTCCATCTTGCCATCTTGTCTCAGGAAATGGAATGATGGGTGTACAGCCGTTCTCTGACCCAAACCCAGCATTCTACCCCAAAGAGCATCACAAGCTCTTTCAGGTCCATTTCTCTGGTGGGGTTTTTCTTTCTCTCATGTGTCAGAGTGAGATGCTGCATCCCACCTGCTATGCCCAGTGCGTGCACTCAGACTCCTAAGTCTTTCGCACAGCTCAGCTGCGCACTTCGCAGCAGCTGTTTGTTCGCTACAGTGATTGTTCCATAGGGCAACCTCTGTCATCTCAGCGTCTTTCACATTGGCTGTGTGACGTCATCACAAGTGTCTATGCTTCATCTGGCTTGGACACTCCAGTCAGATTAAAAGTACATTCTAATCAGGCGGTTTCTTCCTCTGTTGCATTGTGAGCTGGAATGACTGTAGCAGACATATGCATGGCTGCTTCATGGTCTTCACCACCTGTTTTACCTCAGAGATGTGTCCACCAGCCTCCTTACCAATGTGGTGATAACACACAGTTCAGCTTAATCACAGCTGTCACTGAAAGTTCTTATCAGAAACCTTGCAGTTTCGTTATTGTCATCCTTGTGTTCTTAAACGCCCTCGTTGACTTGTCCTTACAATGTCACATTGTGTCTTCTTGATTGTGACAGCTTCTCTCCCACCGGTTGCTAGGCAACCTTGGGGTTGATTCTCATCAGCTATATGCTGATCATACGCTGTTGTCATGTCCTCCAGCTGTTCTCTCATGTTTACGCCCGCCGACAGCTGTAGAGGTTTATTAGGTGGAACCTGAGTCCGCTCAGGTTTGGTTCTGAACCAGTGTGGCGTTGACTAACTATATCTGGCTCCGCCTTTAATCCAATAGGCGATGGCTTAAAGGGCGGGGCTATATGAAATAGAACATTGGTTAAGTTTTGTAACCCCAGATTCTATGAGTTTAGCGTAGCCCTTTAAGCATCTTGGCCCAGCTGGTTCTTTGGGCTTAATAAGACTTATGGAGACAAGCTATGCTCTTTTTTAGGGGCCAGGACCCACCTAGGAGGCGGGCGTACATAAAAGCTCTTCAATGATTGGTTTAGGGGATGGAATTAATCCAATAGGTGATTGCTTAAAGGGCTATGCTATACTCATAGAATCTGGGGTTACAATACATTACAAACGTTCCGCCTTATGGGTGGCCTCTTAATCTTATTCAGAAAAATTATGCATTTTTACTATGTGAAAGCAAACCCCGTTAGGGGCAGAGACCTCTTGAAGCTCATATTAAACATTGTCTGCAGAGAAGGTAAGTTCTCAACATACTGGACAGTGTGAAGATATATGTCCACTCCAAAAGAGTCTGAATGTTGCATCGGATTAATGCTGTCCTGCAGTTCCAACATTTCATGATCTGAAAGAGGACTGTCCAGTACAGGGACATTGATCCCAGGATGAGGTTCAGTCATGTATCCATTCTCCTCCCATTCAATCTCTGGTGTCGGTATACTCTGGAAAAAGAAAGTGTGTATGAGCATTGTGCATAATGAATCTCAAGAAAACACATTTAATACAAGCCCTATCATGACCTTTTAACAATTACTTCACATCAGTGATGTCAGGTAGAACCTAGCATCTCCATTATTTCATAAATTATTTTTTTAATTAATGGGCTACTTTTATGTTAAAACAGCAGTGAGAATATCACATCTGGAAGGTCTAATGCCTTGCATTTTGAACTTGCAGATGTGTCATGACTTTGTAATGTCATGACATTATAGTTGACAGTGTCCACTTCAGTAGAGGTGCACACAAACAGAACTGTAATTTCAATAGTCATTTTGTCTTGAATCCATGAAGCATAGTGCAGAGGTAGATTATCAAAGTGTTGAACATTTGATTTTTAGTTAAGGATCAACTTGACATGTGATCAGTCATTTTAACAGAACATACATTTGCCCCTGGATCAGAAACAGGATTCAGAGCCTGGCCCAGATGCCACAGCTGATTTGGTGTCATGTTTTCCTCTGTCCTGATTGGATGGTTGTCCCACGCATCTCTAAAGACATCCAGGCTGGCCTGGATGCGAGACAAGAAAATATAGTGGCAACAAAACAGGTGAAGGATGTTACTGATGTCGAGCAAGTCTTGGTCTTCCAGAGAGTGCAGGATGTTGTAATATAAACCAGTAACACTCATGAAGACATCACGCCAGAGGCGCTCGATCCTGGATCTGGAGGGGGATTAAATAAAAGAAAATTATAATATACACACACATTTAAATGTCCATCCAACACACACACACACACACACGCCTTCCGAATTAGGTTAAACTCACCGTTGATTGTGTACACTTTTTCCTGCAATGAAGCTGTTGGTGTCAGTTCCACGAACTGAGAACATTAATTCTGCAACACCTACATTCTCTCCGCCATGATCTCCTCTCACCCTGAAACAAAAAAATAAGAAACATTAGAATCTTGCTTCAAACATTTTTATTGCACATCTATAACAATCGGCATCAACTTCAGTATCACAGAAATTTCCTTATGTACCTTGCTACTAAGTGAGTAAACAATGTGGCATTATTAACCCTCTGCTGGGGAAATTTTTTTTGAAAGAGGGAAATGTTCACCCCCCCCCCCCCCCCCCCCCCCATTTATTTCACTATATGACCTCAAATGGCATGTTATCTTTGGTCAATAACACTTTAGGCAAAAGCAGATTTGAACAGGGTAACAGAGGGTAAACTTGGGAATAACATGAATACCTCAGAGGAAAGCCATGCTCATTCACAGCTTCACTGAAGAAGGCAAGGTGGGTGTCTGCCCGGTTGTTGTCAGCTACCTTCAGGTACATGATCTATGTAAGTCAAGCACAAACACTCTCATATGACACACTTTTATAGGGGCCAAAACAATCAATTACCAAATGAAAGGTACAACAGCCATACGATAACATGTTAGATAATTAAATAAGTTAAGATCTGATAAACTGTATTGTTTGTGTCAAATCTCACAGGAGTGATGGATGCAGTTTACAGAAGACCACTGCACTATACTGTTTTCATCCCTCTCCCGCCAGCTTGTTTTGATTTTCTGACCACCCGCAATGTGTGTTACTCCCACATTCTCCCGTGACACTCAGAACTATTACCCACAATATAATTAAGATGCACTGATTGTGTATTCACTCATCATGCAGGAGAAAACATGGAATGACAGACTATTATTAGAGATTCAATGGGATTGTGTTTCATATTCTTCCATTTAAAAATCAATATGGAGGAGTAAAGGCTAATGATTATTACAAGCCCTTACATTAACTGAGAGACTTTACAAATATGTTAAAAAAAATAATGTGTATTTTTGGTATTTCTGAAAATCCTTTTGGTTTTTAGCCAACTGTTCCGGCCTGCAACAAAGTTCTAACTGTCCGCTCCTGCTGGGACCCAATCCTATGCAGCCCTCTACTTCAAAATATAAGTTGTTAAATCTATAAAACAGAAGATAGCCAGAAAACACATTTGCAGCTGTTTGGTCCTTGACAATGAAAACACCTACCTTCCTTGAATAGCCGTCTATTCCTCCAAAGATAATAAAATTGTACCTGTTAAAACACAGACAATTAAAAATGCAACTCCCAAAACAAAAAATAACATCTCCAATTACACACAGACATTACCTGATGAGCTTGTGATTGGTGTCAATGTGCATCATATACTTTGGGCAAGGAACTGTGTACGTCCTTCTCACTACACATCCCAGACGTGTCATTCGAGCAAGTACACCCGCACTGTCCACACGATGCATGGATGCATACAGTCAGTCCCACTGTACTCTATGTCCCTGGGCAAGTAGAGCACCTCGGACTACCCTGTACCCAGCATCTGGCATGTTGCTCTTAATTACTGTGCAGTGTTTCCCCTAGGAATTTTTCCAGCTGTGGTGGTGGTGGTGTTGGCGGGGGGGGGGGGGGGGTTGACACGTCTCACCTTTATGTTAATATTGTTTTATTTGATGCGCTCCACTTTGAACTGCACCAATCCAGCGACTGCTGCATTGTAATAACTAGTATTAAAGGTGAGTACACCAATATTTGCACAAGAATAATTTCTGTTTTAAACTCTCAGTGACACACTTTGCAGGGTGGATTTGGCATTTAATTTTTCTTGGCGTCTGGAAAAACATCTTCTTTTGCCCCCTTTATTTGACTTTCTGCCCCCTTTATTTTGGTCCAAGATCATTACTGGGCTGGCCCTAATAAAAACCTTCTACACCCCTGCTTAGTAGACTTAATGAAGTATTTTTAAGCCAGTATAAAAATGACTGAAACACAAATTTACATATTTGGCATTATTGACCAATATTTTTGATTTGATTTATTTGTTAAGAACATCAAGATGCATTACAGTGAACATTATAATAAGCTGGGCGGACACTGTGCGACTTTTTCACTCGTAACACAGCTTCAGCTCAAACTGTACGACTTCAGCGCAGGGTAGATCTCACGAGTCATGTGCTCACTGTACGTCTGGTAGCAACACGTCGGACCTAAAATATGCTAAAAATAGCAGTTTTTACACAACACGTCAGACTTTTTTGTCTTGTTTTGCCTGTTGTCCTTCGGGAGTGCTGCAGGAGGACACAGGGATTTATGGGGGTTGGATGAGGAAACGAAATAAAGAAAGTAAATCTGTGTTTTGTGATCAGTTTAATTTGACACGAACACGACAAACACGCTTCCTTGACAATCTTTGTGAGTAAAAAAAACGTGTAGAAATAAAAACGAACAGCGTGTGTTATTAGGGAAATAGCGGGTGAGCCGAGTTGATGCAGGATGGCGAATGCGCCGTGAGCGGTTCTGATACTTTTTGGGTCGCAGCTGCTCGCTGCGCCGCTTCAACCCTCATGAGGAACGAGATAAATATCAAACACGCCAGAAGTCCGTGCGAGCTCACGATTGCTGATCGGTAGCTGGTCACGTGGTGTTAATCGCCTCTCGTAACCCCCTGTACACTACACGACGCTCAGCGCAAAACTCGCCCCGATCTTGTGGATTCTCGCACGAGTGGAAAATCTGCTCAAAAAAGGGAAAAAGTCGCACAGTGTCCGCCCGGCTTTACTGTCTGTGTGTGTGCGTTGATGCCTGGACCGAGCTGACAGAGCTCCCGGCTGCAGTTTTGTGTGTAGGGAGGGGCGGGCGCTCTATCTGACTGGCCAATCACAGAGCTTGAAGACAGTAAGTTACCCAATGAGAATTTCATTCAGCACGATTACAGATATTTCCGAGTTTTACACTCGTTTCTTGCTCGTATTCATCAAAAATGCTTTATCCGTAAGCTCATAGCTGTAACCACCCTGCCGTGCCTCCTCCTCCTTGCTACCTGCCGGCTGTGATCACAAGCAACAACACAGTAGTTCCTGCTGCTTCTTCGGGAAACGGCGCAAAAAAAAAAAAACATCAATAAAACTTGGGATGTTGTAGGCGTGGCGGTGGGATTTCAGCCGTGGCGACCCGCCACGGCTACGCCTATGTAAGGGAAACCCTGCTGTGATAAATGAATCTAGTTCCTCATCACTGCATTTACTGTATGTGGCAGATACAGATATAATGTTTTCAGACATCCGTCTAAATAGAGTTACTCTGGATACACCAAGTAGTTTGGTAATGACACTTGTTGGCAGACCCATTTCCACAAGGTGTTCGAGAGCCTCTCGCGACACCACCAATCGTGGGCGGCCACGAGAACCTCTTTCAACGTGTACCGTTATTAATGTCTTTTGATTATCTCTTTCCTGCTGGATAATAGTATTCAGATTTGAAAGAGCAGAAAGTATATCCTCTCCTACATCAACAATGTCACCTAGGCGGGCCAGTTTTAATATGATATATTTGACATTTGATTTCGCGGGGCAAATAAAAATAGACCCAAGGGCTTGAGTTTGACAACCGTGGCCTAAAAAAATGGTACCTAGACACGCTAACTAAACAAATGTTTGCTTGAGTTTAGCTTGATGTTAAACTAGATGAAGAATGGACCAGACTTCACGTAACGTCCGGACTGAATTTAACATAAAACATTTTACTTGACCATGAAGAACGCTTCTACTCATAATTCAATAACATTGCATCAATTACAACGAGGGAATAAGATAAAACTGTTACTCACAGATTGTGACCGATCCATCCCGCTCTGCCGTGTGAGCTGCAATGTGCATGCGCACAGCAGATCTGTTCCGTAATATAAGGAGCCATATGATTGGCTGAAAGCGAACCGCCCTGGTGGAGTCATATATTTGATTGACAGATTTATTAACCAATGGTGACGTTTGTTGGCCTGCGACGTTAGGAGAGTCTCAAAATTCAGCACACAGATTTCTCTCACGAATGCAGGAAGGTTCACAAATGAGAAGCTGTTCGTAAATGCACATTCAGCAATTCGTATGATCTGTGAGTTTATATTACAAGTGTTCTTACAAATTATATTTGTGAACCACAGAGTGTGAACTTCAGAATTAGCGTGTGCATTTGTGGAGAATGTTGCGTGACTTATTTTTTCACATTATATTTATGTGTCAAAGAGTGTGAATTTCCGAATGAGCGTGTGCGTTTGTGTTCCTCCGAATTATATTTGTGAAACACAGAGTGTGGATTTCCGAATGAACATGTGCATTTGTGGAAAAGGTTGTGTGACTTAATTCTTATTGAGACTGTTCTGGCCTCATATCTCTTGGTCAGCTTGCTTCTCACACCAAACCCTCTGTCAGGAATCTTGGCATGACCTTTGACCCAGCTGTCACCCTGGATTCTCATGCCAGTTCTCTTGTTGGCTCTTCCTTCTTCCATCTCAGGAATGTTGCTAAGCTGTGTAACGTGCTGAAGGAGCCATTTCTACCCTAACAGCTGTTTCCTTTTGACACAGTGTCAGTGTGTCTGAAACAGCCTGAAGGTCATACAATCGTTTCTAAACTGTTTACATTCCAGCATGAAGACAGAAGAAAGAAGAATGAATTCTTTCCTTTTGATTAATCAAAGAACTCTATTTTACAACCAGTTTTGTTCTCTGTTACACTACAAATCTTGAATCCAATCTGTGTTGCTATCATGCAGGTGGTTATATTCTCATTAAAATCTTCTTTGGGCCATAACAGCTTAATTTTGGATACATTCCAATTCCCTACTAATTGTTGCGGTCCTCCGTGAGTTATGTTATATGTCACCGAGGACACATGATACGTTCGGAGATATACATGTACCCCATATGCAATCGCTATACTTAATCCTATGAGGCTAAATTCGAAAAGGATAAAAAAGGCCCATTTAATCCATTTTATTATCCAATTCTTTCCTTTCGGAATATTTACATTTTTCTTTTTAACTTTGGGGTCAACTCCAGCCGGAGTTGCATACCTGACCAC